CATATATTTAGTTATATTTTTCACATCAACATTACTAAGCGGATAACCCATTAATGCAACTTTTGTGTGATTCTAGTCTAGTAAATTCTTGAAAACATCTCTCAAATTTGGGTTGGAGTTTTATTCATGGGTGTTTTTATTATCTTGATAAGCATCTGTGTTTCTTTTAGTATGCGCGTCTAAGGTTTTATGTGAAGGCGGTCACCCCCAAATGTCTTGGTGGTCCACCTGTCGACCGCGATCGACTTAATGCTTACCCCGGATCTAAACCATAGGTTTTCAACGTGGGCGATAATGCCCCCTTGTGGGCGTTTGAGGTTTTCAGGGGGGCAGTAAAAAAACCAGAGAAAATTAGGGGGCGTTGAGATGGCACGGATGGGCTTCGGCAGATTAACCAAATATAGTCTAAAAAAACACGCTGTTATACTAGCAAAAGTAAACTTTAATACTGATTACCTTATGTTCATTGCACGAATTCAAATCATTTGTATCACGTGTACGAAAAGTCACATATTTCGGTAGTTCGGGAAGTGGATGAAAAACTTAAAGATTACATTACATTTAGACCTATATTAAATTGAATGATATAGTAAATTTTAATTTCTGTACGTACTGTCGTTGTCAGTAGGCAGTAGGAAAAATGTTTCGTCCATTGCATTTCATTACGTATATTATCCAAGAAATATAACTAAATATGTTAACCAAGAAACCAGGTGTGATTTTTTAAAGGCTGAAACTGTCAATCTTTTATTTTATTTCGATAGCAATAGTTTTTTGTGAATTATTTCATATAATCAAAACCTTCTATATAAGCTAAAACTTTTATTCCACTCTTTTAAATAAAGAAGAAATTCAATGGCGTTTTAATTACAACAATATTCTATCTAAAACTAAATATATAAGATTACACATTTAAAAATATTCGTGACAATAGCTATTTCAGATTCGCAAGTAAAAAAAAATTGGGGGCCTTAGAAAAAAAATTAAATTAAAAAATATGTTCAATTAATATAGAATATATTGTTTTAAATTAATTCTTGTTTTCACTATTTATTATTTACGCTGTAATTTCTCTTGAGTGGGAGGGGGTGGTACCAAATTTTCACTAGAAAAATGTACACGAAATGTTCACTAGGTTGGGAAGCTATGATCTAAACTTCCTCTTTTGAGTGTCTACTTGGGTGCTTGCTGACTGAGATTATCGTATTCTGATTGCCATTTTCGAGCCATTCGAGTATCTAATTTTAGCAAAATCCTGGAACAGCTTCTAAAACGGGAGGAAAACATCGGAAATGCATGCCTTAGTTTGATTAATAAACGCGTATCTTCTTTTTTTTCAAACAAATATTTTCTCCACATTTTGGAAATGCATCTATGAATACTTCATTTATCCACCAGTTAAACACTACTCTCTTTCTTTTTTTTTAACTCTAAAATGGGGAAAAAAAATTCCACTCGTCATTTCACTTTCTAGAAAAATTTCTCCAACACATTTTTCAAATCGACAGTTGGTCTAAAACTGACCGCTGTCCGAAAACTCATAGAAAAGGCCCGTCCGGATAAGGCTTTCAGGATTTGGCGCATCAGTTGGCAAGATTTCCAAATTGGCGCCAAAATACTATAAAATTTGGCACCAATGTTTTGGGTCTGTGCGAGGATCCAAACTCCAATTTCTTCTATTTATTTAAATTTGCAAGACTCGCCTTGAAGTCTCAAATAATTCTTTTCTTACACTGCTAGAACATATCCCAATTCTTTTTTTTATATTCGATGGAACTGTTCTTTCTTTCTAAGAGCACATCTTGTCTGTTGATAAAATTTATTGTTCAATCAAGTGCTGATTGCAACGCTCAATTCATTGAATTCCGAAGATCAATCGCATCCACGTTCGTTAGTTACCTAATATGTTCTGCCTTTACTTTGATTGGCCGTTCAACAATAAACCTGGCTGACGAAATTCGTTTCAGCTCATTGAAATCAAGGCAATAAGCAAACAGCGACAAGAATATAGCCAATCAGTAGCATCCTCGCGGAAAGGTCACTGATTGGCTGGCTACATCTCTGCCACTCGTAACTTACAGCCTTCATGTAAATAAGACTTAAGTCATCAAACGTACCCGTATGTTTCATCTGAATTTTGATTGGTTATTTGGCATCGTCAATAAGTTAATAAGGCTGATGACTTTGAAGATAGCAAAACTACTTTTGATTCGTCAAAATTGATGAACAGTATAATGTTTTGAGTACTAAAAAATTCTATATGTAAAAGAAAAGCAAAAAAACTGAAGAAATTTTACATTTGATAGTTTTTTCATTGTGACAATAAAACTTTGAAACTTTTATGGTTTTCTTCAATTAATCAAGCAAATTGATAGCCTTTTTGTTTAGTGTTAATAGTTGATCGACTAAACTAAATAATTTATATTAATCTGAATGTATTTACTCTTACAATATTTTCATAAACACAATCTTGCTAATACTTTTAACTTTCAGTAATCGAATATTTGGGAAAGAAAGAAATGAAAATAATACACACAGTGTGTTTCTGCAGTATGCTTTAGTTTTCGATGTGTGGTTTCTTATTCTTAAATAAATTAATTATAAAATATTTTCTTCAGTGTATTAATTTATAGTCCTTCTACTATTATTTTCTTTAATTTTTTAAATTACTTATTTTTTGCATTACATTTTGGTTTGTATATGAAAACATTTTCTATATGTTTTGGGTTTGCCAGTTACTTTGAAGCATAACATAGTGTGTGCCTCAGACATATATTTTTGCAATTTAAATAAACTGTTAACAAAAAATTACTGTTTAGTTTTTTTTATTTTTCGATCATATAAGTCAAGTGTTGAGGGAAAAAGTTTGTAGATTTTCGTAAGAGTTTTAGAACATGATTGATGAGAAATATTGTCATAGAATAATTATTTTTCGGATTTTTAAATGAAACTATAATGTTATTTGTGCATGTAAATGTTTTTTAAGTAATTATTTTTGAAGTTTTTAATTTTATTCTACAGCTATTTATTTTCTTTAAATGTCTTTTTTCTCTTTATGATATAAACGAATTCACAGTAAAATCCTCTAATTTAAATTTGAGAAAATCGCTGAGTAATTTATCAATTATAAATTACAGAATGGAATGCTAAGAAGAATGATTGTTATTCTTTTTAAAATTTCCGGTTTGTGTCAATTAAGCTTAATAAGTAGTAGTGGTTTACTTTTGCTTATGAGCTAAGTAATTCTTAATTCATTCTTCATGGTTAGTAATAACATTCAGGTGCTGTGGTGTAAAAATTGGAGTGCAAAGTTGTAATTCAGGTGTCATTCTAGAAATTACACATACACACACACACACAAACTTGATTCATTTAAATAATTTATTTAAAACCTTACTAATGTGTATTATGCTTTATTGCTTTCTAAATTTTCTAAAAGAGAAATGAGTGTGCGAAATTGAATGCAGCAGAAAAAAACTTCTTTCTGGTGAGCCTCAACAAAACAAAATAAAATATTAAAAATTATTTCAGTTTAAATGTTTGTAACATAAAAGAGAGAGAGAGAGAGTGAGAATGAGATAATGCATTACGGGTTGATTCTTTTGTATACCGGCAATACTCCAGGAATTTTAAAGTATTGAGGGGAAAATTGTGGAAAGTTTCTTGGATAGATTTTTGTGAATAAAATAAGTTTGATTTTAATTTATATTAATATAACTACAGTTCCTAAATTCTTAGAAACTCAAGTTACCATTTCCATATAAGAATTAGAGAGGAATTCTTTTCAAAATTAGCTTAATTATTTCCCTCACTTTCAACAAGAAATGTAAAACCAAGGCAAACTTTGAATTAATGTAAGCAGAACACAAACAAATTAACACACATTAATGTTACATACAAGTATAAAAAAATTATATCTAAATTCAAAATGGCAACTCAGAACTAAATAATCTACGTAAATTGATACTTTAGAACTAAATACTTGTCGAAGGTATAATGGTCGTTGTGGTATTGCGCTTTAATAAAAACTTGAATAATTCAAAACACTAAACGTTATTTCAACTATTACTTAAAAAGTCGTTAAGTACTAATTTTGTTTTAAAAAAAGGCGTTTCAGTAGGCAAGAAATTTCTATAAATAATTTTGAGAAGTGAATGTAGACTGTCCGTAGGAAGTTGAAATGCTGGGATAGAATAAAATTATTTACAAATGGAGAGATCATATATTAAAGTCTCCCTATTCAGCCACACGAGGGATTTTAGCGAGGGACCTCGTAATTTAGAACCTGGTCAAGTAAGGAGAATGACACCTGATCTGATACCCCCTTTGCTTAACAACGGGAGGATGTCTTAGCCCTGACAGATTTAACGTGCATCATCCATCATACGGTAGCTCGAACTCATGGCACATTGGCCACGTCCGGGACCTTGACCTCTAGGCTTCCGCGGCCTTATTTACAAAAGGAAGCACTACAATTTTAAAACAAACTTCGGATATTTTCACATTACTATAAAGATCTAGACTAATGATTCTTAACTTTTTTGTTGTTGTTGTTGCTGTTGCGGTACGCAATTAAAAATTTCAAAATTTGCCGCGTACGAACAATACAGTAAGTTTGAAAGAATTTTAATAAATATCTAATTTTTTAATGTCTATAATGCACTAAGTAAAATAGTTTAGGAATTAATAAAAAAAATAGTTTAGTTAATTAAATAACATGTACTGCAAAGACAACAAAATGCTTAAAGAGTAATTAATTACAAATCCACTATAAGAATACATTTAATACGAAATGTGAGCTTGATGAATTTTGATAATTTTGTTTATATTTGTCGTAAAAAAGATAACGCCACTCTCATTTCGTCATCTACATTTACAAATCTTGATCTTTTTTTCAATTTTTTATTTCTTAATGCTGAAAATCCGAATTCACACGAATAAGATACAGAAAATTGAAACAATATTTTAAAAGCTTCTTTAGTTATAATGGGAAAAACGTCGTCCAGCCAGTATAGTGGATATGACCCTCGACTTGTAGTCGAGTGGACTCGGGTTCGAATCCCGAATTGGGCATGGATGTATTTTCTTCGGGAAAAGAAGTTGAACTTTCATCTGTAATGGATTCCCGTCACGTATAGAAAGCAGCGCACCACTTCTGTTGTACGCTGGGATCATTATTTGTAATAAATGTCTGTTTGTATTGCAGGCTTTCTGTTCTTCACTTGTATTTCATATGTATCCCAGGATAAAAACACACGACGACAGCAACAACATGGGATAATCGCCTCTTATTTTAATCCAAAATGAATTAATTGACTCTTCCGAACGTTTTGAAATTAAATCTCGATTATAATATATATTTTTCTTCTTCATTATAAATTAATTCATATACAAATGTATCCGTTATCACAAACGGATTACGAACTCAATCAAATATTTTTAAAGTATCTAAATTTGGGAAGTATATAATATAATGAATAACTTTTTTTCCTCTATTATATTCAAATAGTTAATGACATTTTTATGAATAGTTTATTTCTATAATTCGGCTCCAGAATTTTAAATTGTTTTCCCTTCAGAGAATAATTATTAATCTTTAAAAAATTTGGATGCACATTTCAAGAATTGGGCGACACACAAAAGTGCCGCGACACTGTGGTTGAGAATCACTGATTTAGACCAGTGGTCTTCAAATTTTTCAACTCCCGAAACTTCTAGAACTTGAAGGCACTTTCGTGGAAACCCCAAAACCGGCAAGTGTTGTTTTCGTGGAACCCCTTTCCATATACATACTTAGAAGAATTTATCTCAAAATAATATTTAAAGTACATCAACATGTTACAGGCACTTTATGTAAAGGCAATTCAAAAGGTATTGCATTTATTACTGAAAAATTCGAATGTAATTTTTTAAATATAATTTACTCATGAATAATATTAATTTGTGATTCAAATGTCACCTATATATGCATTATGTTCAGTAACAGGGATATGCGCTTGCTTTTTTTTCACACAAACTGTCCAAGTCTAGGTCTATGGGGATTAAAAGCAATCGAATTACGTATTCTGAGTCTAATTGCTGCTTATACGTTTTGTTTTTGTAGCTACTTACGTTGAGATATATATATCACTTAAACACAATGGCATTAAAATGTTCATATCTAAGTGAGAAATCCCATGTATTTTGTATGAGAATTTGCAACCTATAATTCAGAAGATGTCCTTGCTTAAATTTTGATTTTAAGAGGACTTGGTACCCCTAAAATCCCAAACCTATCGTTTTTTTATTTTCATTTAATCTTATTCTTTGCATTATTATCATTCGATTGATATATCACTTGTGCATGTCGGAAAGTTAGAAGTTGAATAAAACTTCATTTGAAAACAAATTAGGCGATTCAGCCACACCCCCTTTTAGAAGAAAAAAGCTAAAAAATGCGTTATGATAAAAAAATCTAATTTTATAAATAGAAATAACAACTATAAAAAGAATGTGTAGTATTAAAAGCAGAATATTTCCGAGGCAATCCATACAATCATTTTTTTTTTCTTTGTGAAATGTGTGCATGTAAAATTTTTGAATTAAGGCATTTTATATTTAAATTTTATAATTTCAGTTCTTATTCCTGATATATTTTTCATACAAATGTAATACTTTAATATTATAAGAAAAAAAAAACAGATAAAATTTCTGTCGTGACAGAAAAAAAATTTTTTTAACGTTTTTCTTGAATTTTCTTGTGCAATTAGTACTCTAAAAGGTGATCATTTATAAAAATGTGTGGGTTGAAAAAATATGAAAATGCAATTATTTTAAAGAAAAACGTATAACTAATATCTTAAAGTGGTATTTTAAGTTTAATTAAGCTTATAATAATTATTTTTTCAGAATTATAAACTTTAAACTGGTTTTTCTCAGTTTGTATTTTTCGAAACCTTAGTGCATTCAAAATGCTACTCCTTCGACAATTATTTACCAATCACTTCCATTTTTTTCCTGCCTGTTAAAAATAAAGTATGTAATAAAATTAGGGATCCGTTTTGCTATAAACTGAATACGTTTTTTTTTAAAAAATAAAATGTAAGACATGTTGGCTTTTTCGTTGATTTTTGATATCAACATTTTATTTTTTTTCTCAAAAACGAATAAAGTTATTCTAAAATCGATTCCTAAAGTTGTTGAGAACATCCATAAGAATATTATAAAAAAATTTCAGGTCAAAAAATTAATTTTTACGAAAGGAGTAGAATTTTAAAATTTTCCCAATTTTCTTCAAAAAATTTAAATTTTTAAAATTGTGTAAATAATATATGAAAATTTTCATCTGGTATCATTTTCTTGAATAGAAACATTGTATAAAATGCTAAAATATAATTCTTAAATACATAAATAAAGAAATTTGCTCAAAGGGTGCCAAGTCCCCTTAACATCAACTCTGTTGATATGTTATTTCCTTTCCTTCATTACAGGTGTTTTTTCGATAAATGTAAAAAGGTGCATTTTCCATTAGAAAACTATTTACTTTTGCAAGACATTGTGCTAACTAACGAGTACAAAATTATCTCATGGAACCGGAGGTAGTAAACAACAGAATATTCAGAATCTAGTAGAAAGTTTATATATAAAGATATAAAACACGCGTTTCAGTATTCTTTTATTATATTATAATAAAAATGCAAAAATTATTGCAAAATAAAGCTGTTATATATAAATAAAATTTTCAGTTTTAATGAATAGGGGGAAGGAGCTTTATATACTTATAACTATACAAACTTCATAGTAAACAAGAGTCCAGTTTGCATATGCATTTAATTCTTCTCGATTATTTTTATTGTGATTCGTAGAACCCCAGGGCTCAGTGGAACACGGTTTAAAGACCACTGATCTAGACGCAAACATACTGTAAGTTTTATTTTCAACGTTATTTATATATTTTCCCCCAGTTTTACAGCTAAGAAAGGGATACTTTTAATACAAATGAAATCTCCACAAATAAAACTTTTATAAACTCTTAATGTTCAAGTTGCATAGCAAGCGAATGAATGCATTTTTAACATAAATACAAGCATAAACGAAAAATGTAATAAAAGGGCAGATGTTTTTAGGTTAAGCAATTATTACAGTTTTAAATGGTATGTATAAATAAAGGTGAGATTATTTATTTTAAATCGTAAACTATACATTCTAAAACCCCCTGCTTTTTTATTACTCCTTACTCTCATGTTTATGTTTACGTTAAAAATCCATTCAAACACCTGCTATCTTACATTAAAAGTTGTTCAAAAAAAGTTTTATTTATGTAGACCTCATTGGTATTAAAAATATTCTTTCAGCTGTAAAAGGAGAACAAAAATTGCATAACGTTACAAATAAAAGTTACGGTATGTTTTCGCCTAGATAAAATAGAACATAAACTTTCCACTGATGTGTAACAATGTAGTGAATAAAAATTTAACAAAGCATAACTAAAACGAAATTTAAATAAGATTTATATGGCTGATAAAATTCTCTTCAAAACCGTTGCCTGTTTTGGAGAAGTGTGTGTTTTGAAACTCTCCAGAGAAGAGAGCCCGTAAATAATCCTTATTTGAGGAAATGTACGTCATGAAAATAATGGAATTTCCATTAAACAGTTTATTCTATTTAAAGAATAGCTGTTTATATATATAGGAGTGAGGAATAAAGCCCTCAGAATGAAGTTAATGATTATACATTAAACAAGTAATATAAAAAATAAGTCAATTCCTTAAAATTAAAAAATAAAATTTAATTAATGAATTAATATTTGAAAAGACTGTATTGACACTAAGTGTTTAAAAATGTATTTGAATTTCAGTGGATGAATAAAAAGTATTTTATTAACACTTGAAAAACTTGATCAAAATATTTAAATAATTATATATATAGGGAGAGAGTGAACTAAAATAGTAGGAATTGTGTGAAAAAGGAATTTAATTTTATTTATTAAATTTATTTACAGATGAAAAGGCCATGCTTTTCATTTATATTTATTAAATCTGATTAGAGAAAGAATATAATATTTATGAATAAATTTTTGAGATACTATATGCCTCTATAATAGTGTAAGCAGTAGTTATTTTTTAAATGCTTTATAATGAGTAATTATTTATTTAGAAATGTTTGAATATTAATAACATATTTTTAGCTTGTATGAGAGAAAGCAAAGTGTTATAAAGGTTCATTTATTTCACATGAAATCATTTTATTATTTTCTGGATACTAATTTATTTTTTATTCGTTCCTTTTGTTTTATTTTTGTCTTGAAAGCAAATCGAATTTGAACTGTGTATATTCTTACTTACAAAATACAAGTTATAATAAAATATTTTAAACATTTTATGGAGCATTATAACAAAAAGGAAATATATCTGTCTCGTAACATCAATTGATATAAACATTGAAAAAATTTTATTATGCGACTTTGGAAATTTAATTTTAATTTTTAAAATTTAGTAAAACCAGTCTTTGAAGATGTAAGTGGGATTGGCTAGTGGCTTAAAGGTTGCTGGATCTATACCGACTAGAGTAGGTATATTTTCAGGATGAGAAAATCATAGGCATTCTTGTCGTATGATTATACGATATGTAAAAGATCCCTTGAGTATCAATCTACATCTGATATTCTCGGCAAAGTAAAATTGTGCCAATATTTAGTCTCCAACGTGAGCTAAAATTGAATAAATTCGAGCATCAGAAATTTAGTATAGTGGGAGCCACCTCTAGATGGTGCCACGAATGAAATGGCTTTTCACACATAAGGACTTGCCATGTCTGCAAGGGCTTAGTTGCCAAAAAGTACCTCGTTAGAAAATAAAGACGTGAGTGGAAAAATTAGCAGAAAATTTGATATATAGTGCCTAAAATTTGTATGAATTAATAGAATAGATAATGAATTTTCTCATGTAGTTTTATGGTTCTCTTAAAATCTTTGAATGAATTCTCAAGATCTCTACGGATTCCTGTCTTAGATTTAGGTTGCATAAAATATCAACCTAAAACTAAGGCATATAACATACCTTAATCTCTATAATACTTTGTTGTAACCTACAAAG